TGGTTTAGAGGAGATGGGGGGGGGGGGGTGGAGGGAGAAATGGAGGAAGAAGGAAAGTCAAGCTGAAAAACAGATAGAACGATAAAGCAGAAGATGAGAAAACAGAATTGGAGATCAAGGGGCGGAAAAAAGGAACTGAGAGAAGTAAATCGGTAGATACCACAATGCATCATTAAGGTTAAAGAGGGAGAGATAACAAAGACCGAGGGTATGTCTAGATTACAAAAAGAAAGCCCGATTGCTGTTCATAGAATGGGCACCGGTGCTTTTTTTGTTTGCCTCTTCTTTTGAAAAATGTCCCTGTTCTGCATCCACGCACACCTTTTTTCAAAAGAGCTCTTTTGAAAAAAGGTGTGCGTGGATGCAGAACAGGGACATTTTTCAAAAGAAGAGGCAAACAAAAAAAGCACCGGTGCCCATTCTATGAACAGCAATCGGGCTTTCTTTCGAGAGAATGTCCATGTAGTCTGGACGCTCTTTTTTGAAAAAGCAGATCACTTTTTTGATCCAGTTTTGAGGTGTGGGTGCTCTCTTTTGAAAGAAGCCTGCAGTCTAGGCGTACCCTCAGAGAAGATAAAATAAACAAAATGGAGAAAACAAGAAAGCTGGATGGCAAAAAAGAAAAGGAGCTAATTAAAGTTAGAATTAGAGCTGAGTGAATTTTTTCAGACAAAACTTTTTTTTGCCAAAAATGCAAATTTGAATTGACTACATTTTTTCACAAATTTATGAGGAATTTATTGAATTATTGCAGCTGGGGGAAAATCCTGAAAAGTTGAAACATTTCATTTTGAAATTTTTTAAATTGAAATGTTTTGATTTTTCAGTTCACAGAGAGTTTTTGTTTTAAATTTTAGTTCAATTTTGTTTTTAAAAATATTATGAGGATCTCAAAAATTATATAACATATTTTGTTGTGGATTGAACTAAATATTTAGTTGGACTTGAACTGAATTTTTTTCCAATTTCTTGGTTTGAACAGAACACTGAAAAATCAGTTATTCACATATTTCTACTGGGAAGTGGATGGAGAAAAATAATTATGTAAAGACACCAACATCTTCTAGTTTAGTGGCTTTTATTCTTTTACATGTTGTATTTCCCTGGCAGTCATCCAAGATCAGGGGCTTAATTTCTTTTTCAGCCTACTTCTTTTTTGAACTCATACATTGAACTACATAATGGATTTACACTGCTTTTTGGTAAGATATTGGGATGCATGTCAAAAGTTGTATTGAGAATGTAACTAATTTTCATGGAACAAGATGCATGGTAATCAACTCGAAGAGGTAAATGTAACAAATATTTGTTTTGTACTATGATGATCATTCAAAACTATCAGTGTTGTTCTCAGAGTTGTTCTGAACACAGACAAGGCACCTCAGTTGTATATATGTAGGGCTTAATTTTCCTCTCACATCATTGTCAATCACGAGCGGCATAGAAAGAGCAGCCACCATTTGTATCTCTTCACTGGAAGGATTTGAATTCAATAAATGAAATAATACCGGGTAAAAGAAGAAAGCAAGAATTTGAGGCTCTATTTTATTCTATGGGCTCCTTATCTGCAAGTTGTTATTTTGGGAGATGGGCATAGGTAGGAATAACTGAAGTGGGAAAGATATTGATTTGTTCTGAAGAGCAATTATGATTTCTCATGCACACTAAATCCATATTTTATACTTTTTTAAAGTGTGCCATCATAATGCAATCGACCTCAATGGAATTATTTCTGATTTACACTAGTGTAAATGAGTAGACAAATAGACAATGAATTTTGACTTAGTACATTATTAGGGCTATTATGAGCGGTTATGTAAATCTTTGGTTTTTTAAAACAATTTGGATATGTGATATATACTGCTATATGGATGATACTCAGATGTATGTAAAAGCACATGAACATACATACTCCAGTCACATCTGAATCTCAGTGGAATAATGGCATTGTCTCTCAAGAAGAAGAAAACATTGACAAAGATTTTTACACTTTCAAAGGAACTCTACATGTTTCTTTGAAAAATCAACCTCTGTTGAGGCAACTTTGCTCAGCATGAGCAGAAAATAGATAGTTAAATGGTCTATTCCAGCAGGTAAGTATCTGGCTGTCTTGCATTATGATCTCTGCAACAAATGGGCCCTACATGATTTTTCCAGAGCTGAAATTCATGTTGGAATGATAGAAAAGGTAATTCTCTCTTATTGTCACAATGCTCTCTGCACTTATTAAAAATATCGACTTATGAACACAGATAGAATTTAGTTGTAGATAGAGTTTCCTGTCAACTTGCATTTTCCATTTTCTTCCCTTTATGTTTTGGAAACTCTTGCTCTGATTAATTTAATTACTGCTCAGCCTACTTTTTCAAGTCCCTGCTCTTATACACAGGTTTGTTAATTCCATCATACTTTTTAATCTTAAAAAACCAAGATATCGTATATCAAAGCAGTCACCTATCAATATTCATGACTTTTTAAATAATATTGGCTTATTGCAAAATACTGTCACATCACAAGTTTCTAACATCAGCAGTTTTGAAATATTACTTAAGGTCAGTCTTGCAATGTATTGTGAAATTCAGCACTTCACAGGACTGTTGTAGAAGAGGTGACTTATTTTATAAAATATATTTAATATTGAAGCTCAAATTTCAAAGGAAAGCATTATAAATAAATTATGGCCTTAGGATAAATTGTGCCTATATAAAGATATACAGTGTTATATTTAAAGAATTGGTCCCTCTTCTCTACTCATTTCTAAAGCTTCTAATACATACATTTCATTAGCTGGAGATCTGGAGAACAGTCCCCTTTCTACACACTGTTTGCAGTCTACTCCTCCAGTAATGAGTGAAGATGTTTTAAATATTTTAATTAGGTTGATAAGTTAGAAGATGATCTGAATATCTAGTATTTCAATTGGAGTATTCTTACTGAACACATCTTAAGCTGGTTCATGGTATTATAGCAGCTGAAGGAGTTACCATATACAATCAAATATACAGCTTCTGGTTATTCCCAAGATTATTACCAAACATCCAAAGAGACAAAGAATCCAGATAAAATGTCACTTGGTACTGGTATTATCTCAGTTATATTCTATTGATATATATGGAAAAAATACCAAAAAAAAAGTTACTTGAGTAAAAGAACTGCTACTTTGAAAAAAATGTAATTAAGTAAAAATCAAAGTATCCTTCTGGAAAACTGTACTTGAGTAAAAGTACAAAAGTATTGCATCTTAATTGTACTGAAGCGTCCAGAAGTAAAAAATAGCCATTGATCTACAGAAAAATCAGTCAGGGGCCACACAAGTGAGAGACAACCTCCCTCCCCCCCAAAAACCCTCATTGATGTGGCCCCCAACTGACATACCTTACTCCCTGGCACTCCAGCCCCCCGGCAGGGGAGGGGGAGGAGAGGAGGCAGGGAGGACTAAGCTTCAAGGCTTTCCATAGGCCAGATTAACTCTTAGGTGTCCCAGCGTTAGTAGATTTTGTGAGCCCAGGCTACGGGGCAAGTGGATGTGGTGGGGTTTAGTGTGTGGGAGGGGGCTGCCAGGAAGAAGGATAGGAATGGGGCTGAGGGCAGGGGTCTGGTGGGAGATAGGGTGCTAGAGGGGGCTGGGAGTGGAGGTCTGGCTGGGAGGGAGGTGCAGGAGCAGGCTGAGGGTGGGGTGTCTGAAAGGGTGGGAGGGTGCAAGAGTGGACTGGGGCTGGGAGAGCTGGGCGGGGGAAGGGAGCAGGGGGAAGAATATGGGTGTGGGGACTGGCCATGAGGGGGTGCTTACCTAGCTCCATGCTCCCTGCCACTCCACCCTGATCCCATTGGCCGAAATCTGGCCAATGGGAGCAGCAGGGAAAACCTCCCATGAGTAGACAAAGCGGCATTTTTTGTCGACAGAACTGGATGTAGTCTAGATGCTCTTTGTTGACAGAAGCTTTGTTGACAGTATCTGTCGACAAAACTTCTGTCGACAAAAGCCTGTAGTCTAGACGTACCCTTAGTGACCTGGCCAGAGGGCTGAGTCAAGAGGAGGAAGCTGCAGCTCCTGGAGTGAGATAGGGGCCACAAAGAGACAGAGTGATGATGTGCAGTTGAGGGAAGGGGTATCAGCCTGTAAGAGGTAATCTCTAGAAAAGGCAGAAGGAGGCAGCGTTGAGTAGCGAATAGCATACCCTATCACACCTATGTATCAGAGAGTATATGAGAATTGTGTGGTGAGAAGTTTTTACTCTGTCAACCTCTTCAACTCCTGTCTGACGTGACTAAAGTTACTGGCTGTGTCTAGACTGGCCAGTTTTTCCAGAAAATCAGCCGCTTTTCCGGAAAAACTTGCCAGCTGTCTACACTGGCCGCTTGAATTTCCGCAAAAGCACTAACTTCCTACTGTAAGAAATCAGTGCTTCTTGCGGAAATACTATTCTGCTCCCGTTCAGGCAAAAGTCCCTTTTGCACAAACCTTTTGCACAAAAGGGCCAGTGTAGACAGCTCAGATTTGTTTTCCGCAAAAAAGCCCCGATCGCGAAAATGGCCATCGGGGTTTTTTTGCGGAAAAGCGCGTCTAGATTGGCACAGACACTTTTCTGCAAAAAGTGCTTTTGCGGAAAAGCGTCCGTGCCAATCCAGATGCTCTGTTCCGAAAATGCTTTTAACGGAAAAGTTTTCCGTTAAAAGCATTTCTGGAAAATCATGCCAATCTAGACTCAGCCACCGTGTAATAGGCATGACAGTACTTATAGCAAGATGCAATTGTCTGGCTTAAACCTGCAAACATTAGGGAAAAGTATGATCTACATGTTTCCGTGTACAGTAAATCCTCTGTAGCATAGGTATGAGAAATGATAGACCACCACAGTAGGCAAAGGCTTTAGTGAAATGGACTCATGTTTGGAATACATATTTATCAGAATGATCTCACTGCCTAAAATATGGTCATTAATCAACTGTGAACAGGATTTGTATGTGTATAAAAATAAAAGTACACTATCTACATTTACCTACTCTGATCCCAGTTAGCTGCAAAAAGCAGAAGAATCTTCCTGCCATAGTGATCACGTTTTTCCAACACTCCAGGAAACCCATCAATCAGAGCCCGTTTGATCCCAGGATCATCAGCCTTGAAGTTCTTGAACATATCCAGGTTTAACTGGCGGTACTGGAAGTACTGGGCCAGCAGTCTGAAGGCATCTGCTTGGTGAAACTTTCTGGCTCGGAGAAATCTCAAGATGAAGGCATCATCTGTACGTAAAAACCCAATGTCAGGCCGGGTAATGATCATGTCCCTGACCTGCTGGATATCCTGATGCAAAACGTCTGGGTTTTCATTCAGTTCCAGACGGGCTTTCTCTATAATCTCTGGACTAAGTCCAGTTTGTAAATGAGTCATCTCTGCAAAGATCTCTTTTCCAGATTCTTAACTTCAGAGTATTTAGCACGAGAAATGCTGAGCCCATTCAACTAATGGCATGCTGTAAGTGTGATCCATTCAAAAGGTTTTTGCTGTTCTGCTGTTTGAAAAGGACTTGTTCATATCCTTGCAAGAAAGTATAACATTCAGTTCATACGTAGTGTAATCCATCCAAAAGCCAGGATAGCTTATTCCATCATTCACTAAAAGATAAATATATATAAAAAACATGGATTACATATGTGCTGAAGGCTTAAAGGAATGTACTTCTGACATCATCTATAATAATCACTGAACTGCTTCTGTATTTTAAGTATTTGGAGGATAACAACCAGTCTTTGAGTGGTGGAGTTAGCATATTGCTGTCATTGATATCTTGAATGCATAATATATAAGTATCAAAAAGACAATCTAATGAATTTATCATTATAGAGAACATATAGCAACTGCAATGTTGTATTTTCAGTACTAGATTATTCTCTCTCAATTAGTCTAGAGATAACAACATAGAAAGACCAGAATTTCATAACTTCATGCTCTGTTACTGATATGCTTTTCCCATGATATAAGAAAAGAGAAACATTTTCAGCCTTCTAAAATAAGCAAATTTACACTTTTCATGAGGAGTCTAGTATTTATTGTTGGTTTATTGTCAATATTATTTCAGAAGTTTCCCTTTGCTTCCCTTTATCCATTTATTCCCTTTAATAACTTTTCCCTAGACTTGTGCAGAGAACCATGATAAAATTGTGAACCCCAAAACAGTCAGGGTCATTTGATATATGGAGACCACTCTCAGAAAACATTTTCGACTACAGGTTTTCATTTGTAAAAAAGTTTTTCATCATTTTTCCCCCTGTGCCACGTTATCTAGAAGCTTTGTCTTCACTGCCATGTGTGTCTGGATGCAGCCTTGGTGTGAATTAGGGCAGCCTAGGAGCTACTCTCATTTATGACAACTACAGAACGATAACTCTTACTGTAAAATCCTATTGGAACAAGACACTGTAGTTTTACAGAAGTAAACTAAGTGAGGTCAACCACAGGTGGGGAGAATATAGTGTTGCTCTCACCTGGATTCCTCACCATTAAAAATTACAGGTGCCTCGTCGCCACTAGGATTTTACAGCAGGATAGCTAGTATGTATAAATTATACCACTAAAAATGCACCTTTTCAGGCAGTGAAGACTTAGGGTATGTCTACACTACAGTGTTTATTTGAGTTATCTTAATTCGAAATAGTTAATTTGAATTAATGCGTCTACACACAAAATGCAGTTTGAATTAGCATTTTGCTAATTCAAAATACAGCATCCACACTGAGTGGACACTGATTTGGATTTAAGACTGACCAGAACCAGGTGAGGGGTAGGGCATCAGGTCATTGGGGGTAGGGCATCCCCCCCAAAACCTGTCTTTGTATAGCTGTTGCCTGAGGCTATCTGAGGCTTGTGCTTAAAGACACACACACACACACACACACACACACACACACACACAGAGGGCCTACCTCAATGAGGGACAGCAAAGCAGTCCTGTCTTGGAGTGCCCTGAGTGCCCAAACTCGGGACATCACAACACTCTGCCACATGGAGGCAGAGCTGCCCCTGGGCACGCTGGTGCTTCTTGTGGATGCGTTGCTACGAGCCTGGCTGCACTTCCTGCAGGCTGCCATCTGGGAGGTCCATCGGGGGCTGTCAGTATCCAGGAGGCCCTGCGGGAGAGCTTTCACCCTGAGGAGCACTCAGAGCCTCCCTGGTCTGCCCCACTGGAGGCTTGTGCCTCATTCCTCCCTCACGTTCTTCCACTTACTCCTCCCCCCAACCTGATGTCAAATAAAATACACATATTTTCATGAACACAAACTCTCTTTATTTAACAAAACTGGCGGGAGTGGGGGATGAAACTCTGGTGAGACTGGGGAAAGAAGGCAGGAGAAGGGAGGAGAGAGGATGGGAAAGGGGAGGGGGAAACCTGGGAGGAGGGAGCTGGAAGAGGTGGGGGGGGTCTCACTGGACCACATTGATTTTCATACGTACCTGCTCCTGGGATCATGTGTGGCCTTTGGTGGTCAGGCTGGCAGCTTTCCTCCATCTAGTACGGAGATCACGAACATTGGGGGCATCCCCCCCAAACCTGAGTAAGGTCCACCCTGATCTCCGCCCCGGATCAGGAAGGTGCCTGCCTTCTCCGGGCCCTGGCAGGCTCCTGGGAGCTGGCAGACTGCTCCTGGGGAGCGGTGGAAGGCTGGCTGCCAGTGGCTTGCTGGCTCATGTTTTGGGACCACTGGGTCGGGGCAGTGACTGCTGGCTCTGGGCCGGCAGGCTTGGAGCTGGCACAGGCACTATGGCCATAGTCTACCCCTTTAAGGGCTCCGGGGAGGGTCGGGGAGGGAGAGGAGTATTCTTGCTTGAGGCTGGAGTGGCCATTTTTTTATAAGCTTTTATTTTCAATATCTTGCAATTTTTCTGGAAAAAATGTACCTTGTGTGTCTATGAATCTCACACTTGTTCTTAGCTACACTTATAAAGAGTCATGGGCTGTTATCAGCATAATAAAAAATGCCTCAGAATTTTCTTAAGAGTTTCACTGGTGTAAATCAAGAGGTACTGCCACAGAAGTCAATGGAGCTACACCTGTGTGAAGTAAGGTTAAAATCAGGTCCATATTTTTCTGCCTTTAAAAGAAAAAAGTTCAGATTTCTCTTTTGAAACTGAACATCTCAAAAGGAACTTGATTTTAAAACATAGACACTATATACCCCTCAGTGAGGTGGATGCTTTAGGAAATTTGAAGAAGGCTGTTTAAAAAATAATGTAGTTTTAGGGTATGTCTACAATGCAGTTAAAAACCTGCACCTGGCATGTGCCTAGTGACTCCAGCTCATAGGGCTTGGGCTAAGCAGCTGCTTAATTGGTGAAGGTGCTCAGGCTGGAGCCAGGGCTTTAGGACTCTGAATGCTGAGACCGTCTCAGAGCTCAGGTAGAGGAGGAAGTGCAGGCAGGGAGCCAATTAAAGCTTCCTAATTCTTAATCTGCAGCAGCTCTGGATGCCCTCCCCCACCCCCTTGGTAGGCTAGGAGCTACTCTCATTTGTGGCAACTGGATATGATCTATGGGATTATATGCCAGATGACAATTTGTGGGATAGAACTGAACTCTGCCCTGCCCCCTGCCTCCTTTACCATGTCTCCCTTATTAGGGCCTGGGCATATTCTTGGCTGAGCGGTGACAGCCAGATTCTGCCCCTCACCAGTGCAGAGGGGCAAGAAAAGGGGGAAAGAATCTGTCTCATTTTTTTTTTTTTTTTCATTTTTCGTTGTTCAGATTCTTAAATTATAGGAGGAATCTTTTTTACATAATTTCTATATAACAAGCATCACAAATGCTGCCACTGTTTTGTGTGACTATTAGTTCTGTTTCCTAAGTTAGGTTGTAGAAGCACCCATAATATGTTAAACACGGCCACAGAGGAACACAGTCTCCACTTCATGGAAATGGCAGCTGCCAGTAAGCGATTTAAAAAAATACCTTCTGCAATACAGCCATTCATTTTAAAATACATGTTAAGTTTGTTCTTATGGAGATGAGCTTCTTACCCTGTGGAACACTCTGATCACTGAGCTGAAAGTGTTTTCTCTAAAATACAATATTGGTACGTCAAAAAAAAAATCCACAGCACATATAAACAAAGCCGTAATGGTCAGAATTCCACTAGAAATCACAGGCCTAGTTCCTCAGCTGTTGTAATATGCTGTAGCTCCATTGAGTTCAACAGAGCTATGCTGATTTACACTTTCTGATGGTTTAACCCTTATAATAGTTACAATAGCAACACACATTAATGCCAAAGAGTGACCCTGTTTAATTGTCACTGTGATTTCTTACATGGTACTGATCTCTTGAATTCCTAAGTATGTAACAGATGCTCATTCCCCATTATCATACCCACACATTGCCGTTTCCCCTTTCTCCTTAGGCTGTCTACAATTCTTACTTGGGTAAAACGCTCCAGATTTTAAAACCAACCTTGCATCTTTGTTCTTTCAGATAAGCACACTGACATTTTCTCCTCTGGAATGGTGTTGCTGTGCAGTTGCACAACAGAAGCTTTGTTAGATAAGAATACTGCTGAGAACATAGTATGACTTCTTCCTCTGCTGGGGTCTTTTCACAGCTTCTTAAAATAAATCATCCCTCCAAAGGAACAAAGCCCAAACACAGACCAGGAAAAATAATGATCATTTTTCAAAAGAGGAAACGTTGAATGAGAAGTGATGTATTCACCACATACGCCATGTCCCATACTATTTTTTTTTATTTTCAGTGTATTGATTTCAGTTCCCAACAAGATTCAGAGAAAAGGCAGTATGCTTGAAATACTGAAAATATACTGGCTTCTTGGATTGATGGGCACTGGTTTTGCTTGGTAGAAGGGACCATAATAATATTGTTGGTTCACATGTTTAATCTCTGAGATATACAACTTGGTACTTGCTTTCCTCACAAAGACATGCACAAGGCTAAATGGAATTTATCAGCTGGTCAAACCAAAAACCAGACTGACCACATCATTATCAGTAAAAGGGATAGATGGTCACAGTAGGATGTTAGTCTATAGAAGCACTCTCTGTAGCTGTGATTAATTTAATTCCTCCAATTCGTAGTTCCAGTCCAAGAATAAGATGGGTGCCACTGGACAAACAACAAAACAAGAATAATTACAGGAAAAGTGTAAATAAGCCAAGACTGCTGGGAAAGTGGAAGAAGTGAAGTGTTAGGTAAGTGGTGAAGAAATCACAAAAGATTCAACAAGCAAAAGTCTTGGAAAAGAGGCTCAACAATTACAGGAGGCATCAAGAAAACAAGCTATGGAAATGATATACACAAAGGTTAAGCTGTACAGAAATCCAATCAGGTGAATAATACCATCAGTAAGGCTACATCTAGATTGCATCCATTTTTCGTAAAAGGGATGCAAATTAGACGTATCGCAATTGCTGATGAAGCAGGGATTTAAATCTCCCCCGCTTCATTAGCATAAAAATGGCTGCCGCTTTTTTTTGGCACGGAGCTTTGCTGGAAAAAAGCGCCAGTCTAGATGCGGATCTTCAGAAAATAAAGCCTTTTCCAAAAGATACCTTATCCCTTATTTTAAGAGGTATAAGGGATCTTTTGGAAAAGGCTTTATTTTCCGAAAGAT